TGGATCAACGAGGTGCTGGGTGATGATCTTGGTTACTTTTGTCTGTATCATAAGATGATGCAAGCCAATTTTCATCAGTACATTGAATGTACAGTATGCGAGTTGGAATTCTAAACACAACTTAAGCTTGAAAAGAATCTGGAAGGAACACTTACCTTGGATTTACTCAACTCCTGAACAACTTAACTCATATAAAGAGAAAAGCACATGCAATATATATATATATATATATATAAAGCTTGTAAAACAGTGGAAAACAACTTAGTTCATTAATGAAGTTTACTCATGTAATGAAGTAATATAGTTTCTGTGGGAGTTTCTCTAATCGACAACCGCCACTATGAGCCTAAGTGGTGATACACCATCTTGCCCATGCTGCCAGAACTGTCCTATACTTTGCCGTCATATAGAACGCCTTAACTAAGTAGATCCACTAGTCTATAATAAAAAGCAACGTAAGAAGTCATCTAAAAAGTATGATCCTTTACTACTCATGATGGCTACATGGTTTATGGAAACTTGAGTTAAAATAAACTCTCATCCCCATATCAATGCTCAATACTACTCCTAAAATATACTTAGCTCATATGATTTAAAATCAAAACTTCTTTCTTTGGTTTGGGATAATTACTCAAAACTTTTGCTTAAAAGCTCTTTTGGAAATCGGTGTTTCCCTTTCTTGTTCGAATGTGAAAATATTTTAAACTCTTGAGAATACTTACATCCCTTAGAGATTTTTGAGAAATGAACTCAACTCTTTACTCTTTGCTTAACTTGAAACTCAAGTCTTAAAATATAGTTAAAACATTTGTGAAAGACTTTTGAAAACTTTATAAACTTCTCTTGACTTGCTTCTTAACTTCTAGACTTGACTCTTAACTTCCCTTGAATTGAATTATGAATTCAAGGTTCTTGATCTCATGTTTATGGATGATTTCATGATGTTTAGATGTACCTAAGAGTGTTGAAATCAACTAAGATACATAGGTACATTGCTAAGGAACAAGTACGAAAAGATAGGTAACAAATGAGGAGAACTGGCGTCCCTGGCGCTCTGAGAGGCGTGGGGCACCAGCCCTCAACATTCAGGGACTGGTCTGGGGCGCACTGGCTGGCGCGACAGCCCACCCCACCCCTATCCCTAGGTGTTTGACGACTTTTCTTCTCAGTTTTTCATCTCTAAACCCTCTAAACTCAATTGGTTCTTTCCCCAAAGACTTAGAATCATTTATACCCTCAATATACATCAGATTCTACTAGAAAACACAACTAAAAACATGAATCAATCTCAAGAAAACTCCAACAACACAACCCAGAAGGATTTAAATGAACTTCATCAAGAATTCAAGAGATTTACTTTCGAATCTAATGAACTTTGTTGAATTGAATCATGATTGGCACGTGGATGAACTAACCCATCGCTATGTGATATCACATATCTTATAGGGATCACTCCTTGACAAAATCCACAAGCTAAACTCGAACGTTCTTGACGATTTCTTGATTTCTCTTCTCCTTTCTCCTCTTTTCTCTTTTCTCCAAACCCTAGTGTTAACTTCAATTTTTTCTAAACTGACTAAAATCTGAATTTACCCCAAGTAAAATCCTAAAACGAATTAAAACAATTGGTTAAGGAAAAGACTAAAATACCCTTCCAAAATTCGGATTGGACTTTCCTTATTTGAACAGCCCAACTTCCAAAGGGCATATCTCACTCATACAAACTCGAAATTACGTAAACTTGGCAGCGTTAGAAAGATTATTCCAAGAGCTTTCCTACCATATCTGGAAGTACACGTAACTCATCCTGCACTAGGAGTTATGGTCATTTGAATTTGACCAAAAACTCAACTTGTTCTAATCTTAACAAAATTTCCAGATTTTCATTCTATCCAAAAACAACTATTTCCAATTATGAACTCCTTCCTTGTTATTTAAATTTGTGAGATGTTACAATATCTCCTCCTTGGTAACATTCGTCCTCGAATGCGATTATTCTTACTAGGCTATGGGTGTAACATGTAATATTCAGATCAAACACTCAACAAGCAATGCAATTACAACACGCTAACTTATAAATAAAATCCAAGAAAAGGATTAGTACCTTAATTTGGAACTTCTCCGGATTCAAAGAGATGTAGATATCTCTTCTTCATATATTCCTCAACTCCCCAAGTAGCTTCCTAAATAAATTGATTCCTCCAAAGGACTTTGACTGATGCTACCTCTTTTGTTCTCAACTTGCGAACTTGGCGATCTAGAATCTAAAGAGGAATCTCCTCATAAGACAAGCTAACCTTGATCCCAATATCTTCAGTTGGTATAATCAATGAAGGATCGCCCATGCACTTCTTCAACACGGAGATGTGAAATACCGGATGAACCGCGGCTAACTCTTGTGGTAGCTCTAACTCGTAAGCTACATTACCAACCCTTTTCGATATTCTATAAGGGCCAATATACCGAGGACTAAGTTTCCCTTTCTTACCAAATCTCATAACACACTTCATGGGTGAAACTTTAAGATATACCCAATAATCTACCTCATACTCTAACTCCCTTTTCCTAACATTTTTGTAGGATTTCTAACGACTCTGGGCTGTTTTCAATCTCTCTTAAATAACTTTTACTTTCTCAATAGCTTGACGAACTAAGTTTGGTCCTATTAACCCAGCTTCACCAACTTCAAACCATCCAATAGGATATCTACATCTTCTCCCATAAATAGTTTCGTAAGGAGCCATCTGGATGCTAGAGTGGTAACTATTGTTGTAAGAAACTCAATGAGAGGTAGGTGATCATCCGAATTACCCTTGAAATCAATCACACAATCTACGTTGATACCTCAAAACACCTTCTCCCCCTTGTTCAAAGCCATCACTTTTTGCTTATGAACACTTGCCTTTCATTCAAGCAATAAAGGATCTTGGTCTTGCTTATCTTTTACTTCTGACACTAATGATGATTCAACCCCATTCATCACCACTACTTCTCCTTCTCTGGAATCCATTAGACGAACTCCTAGCCGTGCAAGTCTATGTACATCTTTCGCTAACTCTCTCTTTTCTTCCTCAACATGGGTGGTACTACCCATAAACAACCTGTTTAAACCATCAGCAACAACATTAGCCTTACCTGGGTGATAAAGAATACTCATGTCATAATCCTTGAGTAATTATAACAACCTCCTTTGTTTGAGATTAAGCTCTTTCTGAGTGAACACATACTAAAGACTCTTGTGATTAGTGACTACATCTACATGAGCACCATATAAATAATGACGCCATATCTTCAAATCAAATACTACAGTAACCAACTCTAAGTCATGGGTTAGGTAATTTTTCTCATGAACTTTCAACTATCTGGAGGCATAAGCTATAACCTTTCCATTATGCATTAATACGCAATCGAAACCAACTCTAGATGCATCACATACACCACAAAGCCTTTAGTACCTTCTGATAAGGTCAAAACTGGGGCAGCGGTCAACCTCTTTTTCAATTCCTGAAAGCTTTTCTCACAAGCTTCAGACCATTGAAACTTTATTGTCCTCTGAGTTAGCTTGGTCAAAGGGGATGAAATGGATGAGAACCCCTCTACGAACCTTCTATAATAGCCAGCCAAACCCAAGAAAATCATAATATTAGTTGGAGATGTGGTTCTAGGCATATTCTGCACTGCTTCTATTTTTTGAGTATCAACTTTAATTTCCTCTTCAGACACAATGTGGCCTAAGAATACCACAGACTCAAGATAAAACTCACACTTAGAGAACTTGGCATACAACTCTCTATCTTTTAAAGTCTGGAGAACTATTCTGAGATGGCTAGCATGATCTTCTTCATTCCTCGAATAGATTAGTATGTCATCAATGAAAAAGATAAAAATCATATATAAATAAGGTTTGAATACTCTATTCATAAGGTCCACGAATAATGCAGGCACATTGGTCAAACCAAAGGACATAACTAGGAACTCATAATGACCATAGTGGGTCCCGAATGTTGTCTTGGTAATATCACATTCGCTTACTTTCAACTGGTGGAAGCTTGATCTAAGATCTATCTTAGAGAAACAAGTAGCACCCTGAAACTAATCGAAAAGATAATCAATTCTTGGAAGAGGATACTTGTTCTTGATGGTAACCTTGTTCAACTGGGAGTAATCTATACACATCCTAAGGGAATCATCTTTCTTTCTCACAAATGGGACCGGAGCGCCCCAAGGTGAGATACTTGGTCGAATGAAACCTTTCTCTAAAAGATCTTTCAACTTCTCTTTAAGCTCTTTCAACTTTGCTAGTTCCATTCTATATGGCGGAATAGAGATAAGACGAGTATCTGGAAGAATATCTATACCGAAGTTTAATTCTCTCTCAGGAGGGACTTTGGGAAGATCATCTAGAAAGACTTCTGGAAACTCTTTTACTACTGAAACTGACAGAATAGGAGGTATCTCAACACTAGAGTCATTAACTCGAACTAAGTGATAGACACACCCCTTGGAAACTAACTTCCTCGCCTTAAGGTACGAAATAAAACGACCCCCTGAACTACTCTTCCACTCTATAACTGGCTCACTAGGAAACTGGAACTTGACTACTCAAGTTCTACAATCTATTGATGCATAAGAGGCATAAAGCTAGTCCATACCTAGAATGACATCAAAATCTACCATGTCTAACTCAACTAAGTCAGCCATGGTACTCTTGTGATTGATGAAAATTGGTACAATCACGATAGACTCTCTCTATGTTAGAATAGACTCACAAACAGGTGTAGAAACATTGAAGGGCTCAAGAAGTTGCTCAGGAAGATTATAAAACTTATTTGCAACATAAGGGGTTACAAAATACAAACTTGCTCCTGGGTCTAGCAAAGCATTAACATCAGAAGTACAGACTTTGATCATACCAGAGACAACATTTGGAGAGTTCTCTTGTTCTTGGTAACTAGCGATAGCATAAATACGGTTTCCTTCTCCATTGCCCTCAAAGTAGCTCATCTAGATGCAGCTCTCTCTGGTGGAGCAATTGAAGAAGACTGGGCTCTATTGCCCCCATTACCATTACTCTGTAATCTCTTAGGACACTTTCTCATAAAATTACCTTTCTGACCACACTTGAAGCAACTGGTGGAGTCATCACGACACATCCCTGAGTGGCTCCTACCACACTTAGCACATGCAGGAGTCTTACTACCCCTTTGTGCCTTACTACCTTGCGAATGTGTAGGTCTAGCTCTGAAGTTCTGAAAATTCTGATTGTTGTACTCATATTTGTTCCTTGGTGTAGGTGCACTAGAAGATGATGGAGCAGGTCCTTTCTGCTTATGTTGGAAAGAAAACCGATTCAGATTACTCTTTTTCTGCTCGGATTCATTCCCTTATGTCTTAGCCCTTTTATTCTCAAACTCGTCTCTATCCTTTAGTTGGTCCTTCTCAACTTGTTGCACATGCATCATCAGCCTTGCTATGCCTATGTAACCTATTAACATGGTTGCCTTACTTTCCTTACTTGATAGATGAGACAACCCAGCAAGAAGCAGATTCATCCCACTCCTCATGTCGGCAACCATCTATTTGCTTCTCTTAGCTCACAGGGAAAGAAACGCCCCATGAAGGCACTCTCAACCATAGCCCAGTTCACAATCGGTTACGCATAAGCACGAGTTAGAAAGAGATTTTATAGAGATACACTATATCGCACGAAGTGAGTATGAAAGAAGTGAAAGAATTCCTAAATGTTGTAGCCTCCTAATTATAGATATGGCGCACTTCACAGCAATGACTAGGACTCTACAGACACAGTTTCATAGACTCCCAAGGACTCTTGAACAATGTGCTATGATACCAAGTTTGTCACGCCTCGAGCCTACAACCCAAACGTGGTTGGCAATTGAGAACCATTACTGGCCCAAAGTGAACCCTTGGCTTGGCTTACTTACTCAGCGGAAGACTCTAAAAATTATTACAATTCTCAAATACACTTACCCAATTGTATAATAAAATAACTTAGAATGTTGAAAAGTCAACATTCAACTTGACTAAAATGGAAACTAAAGTCTTAACATATTAAATGATAATGTAAAGACAACTGAACTACTAACTGTCTATGAAGCCTCTAAAACAACGAGGAATTTCGGTACAAGACCCCCGATCATCCTAACAATAAAATACTAAAAGCAAAATAAAAGGACTCCTCTAGAATGCTAAGAGGCTCGCCAACTGACTTAGAGTGCTCAATTGGATCAACAAGGCACTGGGTGAAAGTCCTGGTTACCTATGTCTGCATCATAATACGATGGAGGCCGACTGGCACCAGTACATTGAATGTACGAGTATGCGAGTTGGAAAGCTAAACACAACTTAAGCTTGAAAAGAATTTGGAATGAACACTTACCTTGGCTTTACTCAACTCCTGAACAACTTAACTAAATATAAAGCAATAAAACACATGAAATATATATATATAAAGCTTGTAAAACAGAGGTAAACAACTTAGTTCGTTAAAGAAAATGCAATAACAAACACAACTTTACTCATGTAATAAAGTAATATATTTTCTACGGGAGTTTCTCCAACCGACAACTCCATTATGAGCCTAATTGGTGATACACCGTCTTGCCCACGCTGCCATAACTGTCCTATACTTTGTCGTCATATTAAACGCCTTAAATAAGTGGATCCACTAGTCTATGCTAAAAAGTAACTTAAGGAGTCTTCTAAAAAGTATGATCCTTTACTACCGATGATGGCTATATGATTTATGGAAACTTAAGTTAATATAAACTCATAGCCCCATATCGGTGCTCAATGCTACTCTCAAAATATACTTAGCTCATATGATTTAAAATTAAAACTTATATCTTTGGTTTGAGATAATTAGCTATAATTTGAAATAGTTACATAGTGTCACACTAATTAATAATTTCATACGAGATTTCAAGTCAGGCACACCTAGATACGTGGTTTTCAAACTATAGGGAGAATTAGTAAGTATGATAGACGTTTGTATAATTAGATAGTTTTTCAATGATTATGTAAAATAGATATAAGAAATACAATATCATAAAGAAATAATCAAATGGGCCAAACTACTTGCCATATGACCAAGCCCGGATATGCTATAAATAAAGGTGAAGATACATGATTTTTGACAGAAAAATGAACATCACAATATTATATTCATCAATAGAAGAGGATTTCGTATTTGTCAAAGATGTGCCAAGAATATTTTGTTTGTTTCAAGAAAATTTTTGTTATTATTATTAGGTACAATTGAAGTTCATGTTACTGTTTAATATTTTTGTTCGTATCAAAGCCTAGATTTTTCTATTTATTTTCTAGTTTATCATTATAATTTTTATTTTTAGATTTATGACTTCTTTATATATACAAGTTCTTCATTTTTAAACATAGATATCTGAAAAATGTCATTTTCTTTTGTTTAAAATGTAAAAAGAAAAATATCACATATCTATTAAATAAGGAGAGAGTTTGAAAGGGTAGCAAAGACTGAATGTTCATACTTTAAATAAAAAGAAGTTACCCAATTGGATGAATTTTCTAGGTTGAATTGTGGGAGTAGATAAAAGGTTGAATGTTTTTTGACTTTGATGAAAATTTGATACAGTTTGATATATATAACCATGTTCTCAATTTGGCCTATAAAGAAGATAACATAGAAATAACTATGTTTTCAACACCTATTAATGGTAACGAATAAATGTTTTGATTGTTTACTTTTTCTCATTTTGGAAATGGTTGGACAAGGACCAACACGAAGTACTCCAACTGTCAGTGCTACTAACAATCAAGTAAGAAGACAACGTAGAAGAGTTCATCGACGAAGGACAACAATCAATAATGATTTTGATTGTGAAATTATTAGAGCAGATGTTCCAAATTCTATTCAAAATATCTTTAGGGATCAAAGAGCTTAAAAAGAGGGAAGGGAGGATAAAATATGAGGAATATCCAAAGGGAGCCTTCTTCTTCCATACTAGAATATACTCATCTATTTAAGATGAAACAAGAAGAATTGACTTCTCTTTTTATATCGGTCTTGGATCCAAAAGCTTTGTTTATATTTACTTTTTCTCTCCCACATACCTTGATTGAAGTAATGATTAACATTTATACTTGTTTTGGTCCAAATGAGGTTTTTTTGACATATATGTATGTATTTAAAGTCAAGTGGGAGGAAAAAAAATATAAATAGAAGCTAAAATATAGAAATATTGGCTTATGTGGACGTGTCCTAGGCCTCATTTTTTATCAATCTTCTCCTATGGATAATGTAGGTAAGATTTCGGTAGATAGTATTATAAATCGTTATCACCCACATAATGAGAAAGATGACATGTAATATAGACAAGTAATCATATGACTTGTGATATTTTATATGAAAATGTATTACTTTTCCTACTACCTCTTTGTGCCTTACTACCTTGCGAATATGTAGGTCTAGCTCTGAAGTTTTGAGAATTCTGACTGTTGTACTCATATTTGTTCCTTGGTGTAGGTGCACTAGCAGATGATAGAGCAGGTCCTTTCTGCTTATGTTGGAAAGAAGACCGGTTCAGATTACTCTTTTTCTACCAAGATTCATTTCCTTATGTCTTAGCCTTCTTATTCTCAAACTCTTCTCTATCCTTTAGTTGGTCCTTCTCAACTTGTTGCACATGGATCATCAGCCTTGCTATGCCCATGTAACCTATTAACATGGTTGCCTTACTTTCCTTACTTGACAGACGAGACAACCCAGCAAGAAACAGATTCATCACACTCCTCATGTCGGCAGCCATCTCTTTGCTTCTCTTAGCTCACGGGGAAAGAAACGCCCCATGAAGGCACTCTCAACCATAGCCCAGCTCAAAATAGGTTACGCGTAAGCACGAGTTAGAAAGAGATTTTTATAGAGATACATTATATCGCACGAAGTGAGTATGAAAGAAGTGAAGGAATTCCTAAATGTTACAACCTCCTAATTATAAATGCGGCGCACTTCATAACAATGACTAGGACTCTACATACACAGTTTCATAGACTCCCAAGGACTCTTCAACTATGTGCTCTGATACCAAGTTTGTCACTCCCCGAGCCTACAATCCGGACGTTGTTGCAACTTGAGAACCATTGGTGGCCCCAAGTGAACCCTTGGCTTGGCTTACTTACTCAGCGGAAGACTCTAAAAATTATTACAATTCTCAAATACACTTTCTCAATTCTTTAATAAAATAACTTAGAATGTTGAAAAGTCAACATTCAACTTGACCAAAATGGAAACTAAAGTCTTAACATATGAAATGATAATGTAAAGACAACTAAACTACTAACTGTCTATGAAGCCTCTAAAACAACGAGGGATGTCGGTACAAGACCCCCGATCATCCTAACAATAAAATACTAAAAGCAACATAAAAGGACTCCTCAAGAATGCTAAGAGGCTCACCAACTAACTCTGAGTGCTCAATTGGATCAACAAGGCGCTGGGTGATAATCCTTGTTACCTGTGTCTGCATCATAATACGATGCAGGCCAACTGGAACCAGTACATTGAATGTACGAGAATGCGAGTTGGAAAGCTAAACACAACTTAAGCTTGAAAAGAATCTGGAATGAACACTTACCTTGGCTTTACTCAACTCCTGAACAACTTAACTGAATATAAAGCAATAAAACACATGCAATATATATATATATAAAGCTTGTAAAACAGTGGTAAACAACTTAGTTAGTTAAACAAAATGCAATAACAAACTCACCTTTACTCATGTAATAAAGTAATATAGTTTCTGCGGGAGTTTCTCTAACCGACAACCACCATTATGAGCCTAATTGTTGATATACCGTCTTGCCCACGCTGCCATAATTGTCCTATACTTTGTCGTCATATTAAACGCCTTAAATAAGTGGATCCACTAGTCTATGCTAAAGAGCAACTTAAGGAGTTTTCTAAAAAGTATGATCCTTTACTACCCATGATAGCTACATGGTTTATGGAAACTTAAGTTAATATAAACTCATATCTCCATATTGGTGCTCAATGCTACTCTCAAAATATACTTAGCTCATATGATTTAAAATTAAAACTTATATCTTTGGTTTGAGATAATTAGCTATAATTTGAAATAGTTACATAGTGTCACACTAATTAATAATTTTATACGAGATTTCAAGTCAGGTAAACCTAGATACATGGTTTTCAATCTATAGGGAGAATTAGTAAATATGATAGACGTTTGTATAATTAGATAGTTTTTCAGTGATTATGTAAAATAGATATAAGAAATACAATATCATAAAGAAGTAATCAAATGGGCCAAACTACTTGCATATGACCAAGCCCGGATATGCTTTAAATAAAGGTGAAGATACATGATTTTTGACAGAAAAATGAACATCACAATATTATATTCATCAATAGAAGAGGATTTCTTATTTGTCAAAGATGTGCCAAGAATATTTTGTTTGTTTCAGGAAAATTTTTGTTATTATTATTAGGTACAATTGAAGGTCATGTTACTGTTTAATATTTTTGTTCGTATCAAAGCTTAGATTTTTCTATTTATTT